TGTTTTTGTCAAGATACTCAACTCACCTCAACAGAACGTGTCTTAAGAAACCATCATTACTTGTTTGATTCGGAGCTTGTGATACAATCTCTCAAAAGAAATAGTCAAGCAGCAGGAAAATGATGTGTTTTAAATGTTGGATTTTGTTATTAATAACAAAAGATATGTAAATGGAAAATGATGGGAAAAGAAATAGAAGGAAGTGAAATTTTGAATGAGTTTACTTTATTAATGCACTTTGTCTCTCATTGGTAGAAGGAAAGAAAATCTTTGTGTATATATAGAGAAGCTCATCTTTTAGCTCTTAAAGAGTTAAGAAGAAGGCAAGTCTCGCGCCGTCGTCGTCGCTTGCTCGACTTCGAATTGATTAATTTTTTAATTAACAAAAATTCAATCCGGAATAACCCGTGACTCGGATGAGTCAATAAAGCTTTTTAATGATTTGCTAAGTCTAGCAGGATATGACCAGATATGTGTCTTTAGGATTACACGTTTAGGAATCACCTATGTGAGTGTGAAGTGTAAGCCGCTTCAAGGAGAATGAAAGTAAAGGCACATTCTGTAAGCACTCACGAAATCAAGCGGTGTTCATGGCTAAAATGAACACAACCGTGAGAACCATAGATGGTTAAGGATTGATTGTGTGACTTATGTTGTCTAGATATACAACAAAAGCTCGACGATTCAAAGATATCAAATCTGCCGATTAACCGAGTATATCCGATATAAGTTCACTACGGAAAGTTCAAAGGAAAACCTACTTATCCAGATGCAATTAATTTTTGCATGTAAAACACACACACGTCCGTGCATTCCTTTAAGTTTATAGACATTCCTCATTCATGTGGGGGATTTTTAGATTTTGTTATTAATAACAAAAGAGATGTGAATGAAAAATGGTGGGAAAAGAAATTGAGGGAAGTGAAATTTTGAATGAGTTCACTTTACCAATGCATTTTATCCCTCATTGGTAGAAGGAAAGAAAATCTTTATGTATATATAGAGAAGCTCATTTTTTAGCTCTTAAAGAGTTAAGAAGAAAGCAAGCCTCGCGCCGTCGTCGTTTCTCGGCTCGGCTTCGGATTTGGATTGATTGATTAATTTTTTTGGACAAAATTCTTTTCAAATATTTAATTAACTAAATTAATTAACAAAAATTCAATCCTAAATAACCCATGACCCGCGACCCGATCCGTTTTCTTTCCCGGATTATTTTAAATCCGTTTGTTTTTCCTACAATATTTCTCCACCTGTTTCAACAGTTGTGGCTGTTCTGAAAGATTGCAAACCTTTTCAGAAACAGTGTCAAACCTGTTCCAACAGCTATGACTGTTCTGAAAGGTTGCAAACCTTTTCAGAAACAGTGTCAAACCTGTTCCAACAGCTATGACTGTTCTGAAAGGTTGCAAACCTTTTCAGAAACAATGCCAAATGGGCTATAAATATTCCTTTAATCCTAGAATATTTACTTACGAAATTTTCTGATCTTATTCTTCTTCTTCTGCACATAAAAATTCTAGTGTGTTTTATAGCCTTCGAGTGGTTCGTTGTTTATCGGCATTTTTGGTACCAACATTCCGGTGAGTTAAATTGTTCAATCCTGGGAGGATATATTCCAGAACCTCGGGTACTTGAGGGGAATAATTTCCTTAAGGATACACTATGTATTCAGCGGGCTCGATTTATTCCTATACTATTTTCAGAAATTATTTTGAAGTTCCTATACTGTTTTCAGAATTTATTTCGACGTTCTAGTTCTACTAACTTTCTATTTCTGTTTTTTTAGAAAGTTTATTGTTTTATTAATTTTACAGCAATACAATTTTGATAACATTAAATACACCTTAAGAAATGTTTGATGCATAAAACGATATCCATAAAATTAAGGTGGATCAGAAGAATTTATTTACAATCTGGAGTTTATAAAAATATATGATGATTTAAATATAGGTGCTTTATAAAATAAGAAGGGAGCAATTAGTATATTAAAATTAAAAATAGTAAAAATCATCATATTCATAGGCGTATCGAGGTTGAGGGATGTAGGTTCACGTGAATCTGTACTCCTCCCCTTAAACCATGTATAATAATGTTATATTTTTTTCAAAATTACTATATGTGCGTGAAACCATGCTCAACGACTCTTATAGCGCAGTTATTATTGGGTGCACCTCTACAAATGAAATTTATGGTTCAAAATCCCACTTTGAACGGTCTTGTTTTCAGCGTGGAATATAGTTATATATGTGAAAATTACTAAAATTTTAAAGAGAATATAATTTTGAACCTATAATTTTAAAAGTGTAGTGGGTTCATGATAAGAGATTACAGTTAAACCCATCAAATATAAAAGGAAAATTTTCGTTTCTATACCATATAGGAAACTATATTACCAAATATGTTCATAGTTTGCATATTACCCGCCATGTTAATAGTATTTCTACAAAATATAGACAATTCATTAAATAATGAATCATTGTAGTTGTAGGCTTCCTTATTTAGGCGCGCTAATATTGGAGAATTAAATATTCTTCCAGATATTTTACAACGCAAATCACGCATTAATATTATCGGCTGTTTCGATTCAAAATTTAGCGACTCTATTTTTGCGATACACTGTGTTTCAACATTTTTTCTGATTTCACAAATCAAAAACGACTAAATTTTCTATAATTCTTCTCCAACAAACGCAATTGTGTCCAAAATCCCAATTATGCTACAACTGAATGGGAATTGGGATAGCTATGGGAGATTTAGAGAATTTCAGGTCGATGGCATTGTAGTCGATGGGGATGCGAGTTATAGTCTATTAATTTCTACAATAGCATAACAATTAATGATCGATACATCCAAAAAAATTATACAAAATAAAATACAAAGCAAAAGAAAAGAGAGCAACAATTCCACCATTGACAGCCATTAAAAAGCTTGGAAGATTTGAATTCGAATTTGGGTTTTCAAAAATCATTATTTGTTTGGATTGGGTGTTGTTGAAAATAATTGCAAATATGGTTTGGAATTTATATCTCAATTTTGAGGGATTTTGGTGAAGATTATACTTGGTTTTGGCTGAATTTCATATTGGAACTCGAAGAAGAAGAAGACATGACATACATTATATTGCAGAAATTATAGAAATATTGTAGAAAAATTGTAGACTGTTGTTTATTTATTTTTCTTTTATTCATTTAACTATTGTATGAAGGTTGAACAACATTGTATAAAAATTGTATTTAAGTGGTATTATATTGTAGTTGTATATACATGGAGACGAAAAAGGAAAACAAAAACTTCGGATCATATCCGCTATGTATAACTATTCGCGATTTTAATATGGAATTAAGTATCACCGATGAGAACACAGTTGCAGGTTTGTGCTGTTACATTTTCTATCAAATTCTGGTTGTATATCAATGTCCTATACTTTATCTACATTTTATCTACAAAATAAACTACATGTCAGAGTAGTATATATATATATATATATATATATATATATATATATGGATTTTCACAATATCTACAAAATTTCTACAATAAAATTACATATAATTTGAAAATTAATATGAAATACAGAATTTCAATGTTTCTACAAATTATCTACAAAATTTCTACAAACTGTTCATAACAGAATTTATCTTTATTTTCATGCAGGTTCGTCTGGAATACTAAAGTTACTTGATATGCCAACATCTCCCGTTATAGAGGAATATGAAAGTATAATAATAACAGATAGTACACCAAGTTTTATTGAAGTAGGACAAGTATACCAAGACAACCAAATTTCATACTACTAATTATACATAGTAAAAATAATTTTCATACAACTAATTATATATTATACAACTTATCTATAATTTATCTACATTTTCATACATTGTTTCTGCTCAATTATATAAAATTACAATATAATACCACTTAAATTTAATTTTTATATAATGTTGTTCAACTTTCATACAATAATTAAATGAATAAAAGAAAAATAAATAAACAACAGTCTACAATTTTTCTACAATTTCTGCAATATAATGTATATCATGTCTTCTTCTTCTTCTTCTTCTTCTTCGTCTTCGAGTTTCAATCTGAAATTCAGCCAAAACCAAGTTTAATCTTCACCAAAAACCCTCAAAATTGAGATATAAACTCCAAACCATATTCCCAATTATTTTCAACAACACCAAATCCAAACAAATAATGAATTTTGAAAACCCAAATTCGGATTCAAAGCTTCAAAACTTTTAATGGCTGTCAATGGTGGAATTGCTGCTCTCTTTTCCTTTGCTTTATATTACTGAAATTTGGGATTGAGAGATAGAGAGATGTAGAGAGAACTCTCAATTCTTTGCAACAACATCCAATCCAAACAAACAAATGTCTTTTGAAAACCCAAATTCGAATTCAAAACTTCAAAGTTTTTTAATGGTTGTCAATTGTGGAGGGGTTACAGATTTTTGCTAATTTTAGAAGAGGAAATTGTGGGTGATTGAAGAGAAAATCGTGGGGTGTGGTTTGATAAGCGAGTGAGGTGGTGGGATTTGGAGAGAGAAATTTGGGGGAGTGGGAATATACGGTTGAGTAAAATTAGAAGACTAATTAATACCATTAAAATTCTAAAATGGTACATAAATGATAATTAAGTATATATAAGGTAATTATATTAAAAGTTAAGGATGGAGGGTAATATAATTTACTATATGACATATGAATATAAAAATTCTAATATAAATTTTAGATCCATCTTTTCATAATAGTGCATCCATCCACTTGAAATCTCAAATCCACCTCTATAATCATATTCATAAATCATAATAAGTAAACTCATTTCTCTCAATTTTATCATTCGACTACTTTCAACCTTATCCATATATAAATACACCTATTATTTTCTTTAATCTTTCTATTTTTGGTGCAAGTATAAGAAAACTCCAACTCAGAAACTAAAATGAGAAACTTCCATAACTGTCAAAGTTGAAACCAATGGCGGAAAATCTGCCTGAAGAATGTTCAATCGTCTCCATCACCCATTTGACTTGGAATCATTTTCTTTGGTTTGCAAGAGATTTCTTGCTCTCACCAATCGTCTACGCCGCCATTTGTCTCTACTTGACTCCACTCTTCTCATAAACGGTACCATATCTAAACTCATTCACCGATTTTCGCATATTATCTCTATTGATCTTAGTAATTTCCAAGGTGACCTTGATCTTGTTGTTCTTGACCTCGCCAATTCTGTCTCATCCTATACGTCTAATATCGAACAACTTGATATCTCTAATCAGAAACAATTACCCGTCACCGGGTTGAAGGAATTGGGCCGTAAATTGAAGGGTTTTTTGAGAGTTTTGAAGTGGAAATCTCGCCCTTTTGCGTGACCCTGATTTGTGTGCTATAGCACAGTCGTTTCCGTTTCTGGAAGAGTTTGATTGTAGTTATTCCAGTACGGATTTAAATCCCTATCCTGAACATATTAACCCTAGCGATTTGGCGGTAACTGATTCCGGGATTGAGGTTTTATCAGTGAATTTGAGGAATTTGCGTAGGATTAATGTTTCTAGGATTGAGCTAATTACTGATAAGTCCCTTGTTGCTCTGTCTAAGAATTGTTTGAATTTACAAGGCATTGATGTGGTGGATTGCCCTCTGATAACTTCAAAAGGTGTCCATTCTATACTACGTAGTTGTACTGCTTTGAGTTGGATTTCAGTGTCCGAGATTCACTTTCCTCGATCACGCTCTGGTTTTGAACGTTTGGCTTCTTGTCGCCGAGCTTTGCAGACATTGAATGTCACCAGCTCGATGATTTCGGATGAATTCCTCTTATTGATGGCCAAGTCTTCTCTCCCTCTATCCAGGCTTTCAATTTGCTGGTGCATAAATTTCACATTATCTGGTATCTCTTTGCTCTTGTGTGCATACCAATCACTAAAGTACTTATCTCTGGTTCAAGTAGATTTCTTGAGTGATGAGTCCATGAATGATTTATCCAAATATCTACAGATTCTAGTTACCATTGATGTCAGTGGTTGTAAGAGATTGACCATTTCGACGTTCTTCACACTTGCAAGAAATTGTCCTTTACTAGAAGCAATTAACATGGGAAGTACTGATTTGGGGACGAAGGATTCTTTTCATAATGGTGTGAAGAACCCAAGAATCAGGTCTGTTAATCTCCGATATAATTGGTATCTAGATGATGGCACTCTCACAAAAGTTGCTTTAATGTGCCCCAATATGGAGATTCTTGATGTGTCCACATGTCTAAGTCTTACAGAGGCAGGTATTGCTTCAGTTCTTGAGGTTTGCAATCAGATAAGGAACTTGCAGTTTGAGAGCTGTCCATTGATTAAACATATAGGAGAAGGCGCGGAATTGCCTAATGTTGAGGTAGTCAGTGCAGCTACTTCAGCAATAAACGACGAAGGCCTGGCCTTGATTGGGAGCAGATGTTCTCGCCTATTGAAATTAAACTTGACTTTCTGTGAAGGAGTGACAGCAGATGGCATTCAGGCTATGGTGACAAATTGTAGATCATTGAGAGGGATACAATTGAAGATGTGTCCGCAAGTTAGTATCAGTTCTCTAAATAGTTTTTTATTATCTCGGGGTTTTAGATGGACGAGTTGAGCTGAATTTGGACGGGTCAAAATGGGCTGAGCTAATAAATGGATAGTTATTGACCCGCCCAAACTTAAGCAAGTTAGACATGTCATGTTTTCTTGGGCTGATTTTGCCACCCGTAGTATTATCGCCTTCATCACTGATCATGTTCCTCTGCTTTTAGTGATAGCTTGAGGAGATTTTCTTGCACCAGGGATTAGTCTAGTTTAAAAAACAACTCGTCCACTTTTGAGTTTTGACTGGAAATAGTAGAAGGGTTTTGTTACTGAGAACGTTCGCTGCAGCAGGCTACACAGCGAGTTACACTTTTCTTCTTTTTGTTCATATGTAACCTCAAAATATTATATATTTGAGGTCGTACTTTGTTTTCAGGATCTTAAAAAAAGTGAAACAAAATTTAAAGCCAGGTAAAATTTTGAAGCTGAATTGACTGAATCTGTTTTCTTTGGCACCAGTTATTAGATGCAAATTGACCACGGTATTTCGAAAATCATCATCTTTTTATAGAACAGAGAGAGTACTGTGCTAATTAGTGTGAACCATTTGATACTGAGGGTTGACAAAAATATCATATCATCCTACCACATTTCTTTTTGTATACATTTTCAGAAGATTACCATAGCCGAGACTGGAGAATTTCCATATGTTCTCCACGGTGATGAGCTCCTTTCTATCTTTGTTGCAAGACAATTAAAGATGGCAAAATTCTGTTACTGTGAGGTGCGCTCATATCATTCCAATCTTTCGTATGTTTCGACGTGCAATACGTCAAGCTTAGCATTATTCTGACGTGACCAAGCAATTGGAATTACTTTTGTCATGACATTGCACCAAATTCTTTCATATTTAGATGTTAATACAACATCATCTAGTCTTATTCATTTCATTTATTCTTCTTTTGGGTAGGGGTAAGGTCTGCGGACACACTACCATCCCCAGAACCCACTAGTAGAATTTCACTGGATTATTGTTGTTGTTGTTGTTCTTCTTCCTTCTCAATGCAGAATTGACAATGACATGGTACCGGTTAGTGGGCGCCTTGTTGTTACCTTTCAAACTTATACTCTCCTCTCTTATCCATATTACTAGTCTTTTAAATTTCTACACGATCCCTTAAACAATAGATTCAAGAGGTTTTTACACATTAGGACTCTTATAAAATAGTTTTTATATTAATGTTACCATATTTTGATTATTCCAATAATAGCAGATTTTATTCCAAATATAGTACATTTGAAAGTATTTAATAGTAACTAATTTATTTTTTAACTCTTCCTTAAAACAAGGGATTATATTTAAATTTTTAATATTTTATTTCTCTTTCTCTCTCATACTATCACTCTACCATTGACTCTCTTTCTTCGAATTTCCAATTNTACATTTGAAAGTATTTAATAGTAACTAATTTATTTTTTAACTCTTCCTTAAAACAAGGGATTATATTTAAATTTTTAATATTTTATTTCTCTTTCTCTCTCATACTATCACTCTACCATTGACTCTCTTTCTTCGAA